TCATGTATGTTGGAACATTTGTTATTACCCTGTCACTTCCGTTAATCTTGCTGGAATAGTCGCCCTCAACTTTAGCTCTTTTGAGACTTGACATTATTAAGAGCTGCATTTGCTAACCCTGGTCGCTCAAATATAACCGCTATTTTGTAACGATTGATTCTTTTCAATTGCTTGATACCTTTGTTACTAAGCTTCAATGCGCTTCCCAAGCCCATCAAGTCTCTCTCACCTATCGGCGTCTTGTCGTCCGCGCTCTCGTAAATTACTATATATTCGAACTCACCGCCATCCTCCGGATACTGACGAATGTAGTTTTCAGTTTTATAAGGTTTGTATTTGTCTACATCGTCGTCGCCCGCATCATCGCTCATAGCGGGTCCTCTCCTTCGCTTACCTCTCCGCCATCGTTTCCCTTTTACGTTTGCTTTGCGACCCATGGCTGGGCAGCAAAGCTGTGTTGCTTTTATTGCACTATTAGAATATAAGTTACTAGTAATTAAATTTACTAAGAAATTATCAATTTATTCTGCAAAAAGCAATTTTAAAATTTTCTTTGAAAAATTTCACCCTCTTGATTCAAATTCCCGCCAAAGAATCTGAAATCATTTGACAGAAATCAGCAGTATTGCTAGCCAAAAAAATATATTTGCGGTGTTGCCATTAACTTCTAATATTTTCTACCAAATAAATATGAGGGTCAGATAACGGCGCGCATTTCAAAAAGATCAAAAAACCCTGCCTGTGTGCACGTTTTGGTCTGACCCTGAGGGTTCTGAGCGTGGTTTCGCTAGTTTATATATATAAGTCTATGGTTTCAGCTGTGCACCACCACTACGCACTAACGAGCAGATCTGCCCAACAAGGAGCAAATAGTGTTCTTTGGAGTAGAGTGACGAGACAGTCCTGTCTATCCCGTCCCACCTTATTTACATGCTGGTTCCAGGTATTTACCCACTGATTACTTTTACGTACCCACTTATGGGCCTCACTTTCGATTTTGCAGGTCACCAAGACGGATTTATTTACCATTTTCTCGTTTGATACGAACAAGGACATACATTCAATGGACATACATAGTCAATACAATGTTTTGCTCATAATCTTTTGTAAGGCGTTTGCATAGCTTACCTTCGCGCCTACGCCCATCCCATCACTCACCTACATTTTCAGATAATAAATTGAAAATAGGTCAAACTAATCCTACTTTGCCCTACATAGTATTGAAAATGTCCTAGAGTTAGCCCACTCACTTTGCAATATAGGTCAATAGAATCGAATGTAACTGTAACAGGTCAGATTTCAAGAATATGATTTACTCACTTTCCAAGGCTTCTCAAAGAGCTTCATGCTCTTCGGAGAATTTATTTTTCACTATTTCCTAGTTAGGTAGCGGGTAATATGGCAGAAACAATAGGTATTTGGAATTGTGTCTTTATTTTGGCCCTGGTGTAGTCTGGAAGAGTAGCAAGCTAAAGTATCAGTAGGCTGGGCAGATTTGTCGTACATACCTACAACTGATGGACTTTGATGTAAGTTATCGGGTTTTCGCTTGGCAAGCGTAGCATTGGACGCTCTTCGGTCAGATGGACCGATTACTTAGAGAGAGCGGCTGGTAGGGGCTGCAGGGCGAAAACAGGAGATCATGCCTTGTGGCGTACCTACCTTGGGAGCGGCCTTTGTCCAACAGTGGACTGCTATTGTGTTGGCTAGTGGAATGATGTGATTATGGCCCTCGGAATCCGCAAGGCGTCGCCCTCATGAATATCTTTCTTGAGACTGCAGTTGCCGACTTATTTATACAAATACTTATAGGAAAGTATCTACTATGGGTAGTATGGGTAGGTACGGTACTTCCGGCGCTTTTACACCAGCTCGTAATAACCATGTACAGTCATCTGCAGAGTTAGCTGTTTTCCGTCCCCGACTTCGGAGGTCAGGTAACTCTGCACACACGGAAAGATCGGCTCATGGCAGGGGGCTCAAGGTATCATGCATGATTGATGGCCACGTATTAGAATAGCAGCGTGAGACGGCCGGCTTTGGTTGCACATTACCAGCCAATAAGTGCAGTCAGACCAATATCGTGGCCTGAGTTGTAGTACTTATACTTACCTGTTAGGTACACTTATCCTACCTACAAAAACACAGATTTTATACTAAAGGTGCCTACAGACGTAGCTATAGACCTACTGCCCATTAATGCGCATTAACGCGCATTAATGGGCAGTATTGGTGTATATATCCTGGGTTGCCACTGTAGTCGATTTTAATTTTTTTTAGTGCATACTTTTTGGTTAAAGAAATAAAAATTACGCAAGTGGACACTATTATCGTCATTTCAATAACTAAAATAGAATCATGAATAAATTCCACAATTTATAATTCAATAATTCCACTAAATATATGCACTGAAAGAATCACTAAAATGGCAACATTTTATCGCAAGATTCGGCGATACTGCCCAATATATACCTCCATACATATCGCCAACCTTCATAGACGAGACAGCGATGGGATATATTGAGCAGTATGGCCCAATCTTGCGATAAAATGTTGCCGCCTTTGTGGAATTTTCCTCTAAATCTGGTGGTCTAGGCTTGCACAGATTACGCCTTTATCCCTTGCGGGATGGGCAGAGCGTGGATTCAATTCAATTTCTTGTTTTGAAATACTGCAATAAAAGTGTTTCATCCGAGAAAAAGTCAAACAAAAATATCCAAGAAAACTGTAGTGACTGCCTAGTCTAGTAGATAGTAGATACCAAAAAGGTTGTAGGTGAAGCTATACCTAAGCTTCTTGGTAGATACCTTTTTATTTTATTTTCTGTTTTTATTAATAAATGAAAGCTGTCAGTACTTCCCTGTCTATTGAACATTCGCTTTGACATTCGCTGCGTCACTGCTAGGGTAAATTCGCTGAATCCCGGCCCCCTAACTAATCCCGGCCTTTTTCACAAATTTGGCTTGCTTTCCGAAAATACTGGAAACTTACAACATATTCACTCATTTACAACGTGGTCATATCTTCTTCCTTAAAAATCTATTGAAAATCCTGTACCTACCTAACACTTTGAGCTTTAGACGTCGATTGCAACAGAGGCGCGGACGGGAGCGGACGGTTTATTCGAAAAGTTATTCATGGAAGCTCTTCACATCCACTCTGGGAGTTAGTTTTAGGAACGGTAGTAAACTGATCTGACAATTATATTTCATCATAGCAATTAGAAGATGCTCAAAATTACATTTAAAATGCATTTTAAGTTATTTTATTTCTTAGTTACAAATAAATTAATGGGGGCGGGCGATAATTTTGCTGAAAATTTCTCGGTCGGGGGCGAAGATAAAGCTAGGTATTTGATTAAAATATTATAATTTCGTTAATCAAGGCTATCGTTAAAAGTAAAGGTGAAATTGTTAATGTCATTTATTAGATTTACTGTTTTTATAACTCCTATACATGATTGAGTTTCATAAAATGACGAAACAGTCTTCCTTTCATTATTGCACCAAAATAAGTCCACTAAAAGGTAAAACAAAAACATTACGTTGGCAACCCAGGATATATACACCAATACTGCTCAATAATGCGCGTTAATGCGCATTAACGCGCATTATTGGGCAGTAGGTCTATAGCTACGTCTGTAGGCACCTTAATCTGCATACCTCTTTGAAATAATCTTCTCTCTCTAATAATCTCTTTCGAAATTATCTTATATTTTTCAGTAATTTTCGACAACGGACTCCTTATTTGAGATATTGGTTTAGAAGCACCCGGTTGGGTGATGTTCAACGCGTGAAAAAATACTGCCATGTCAGGTATGAGTCGAACACGCACAAAAAAGGTTCCGTACCATTACTTTTATGTAGACGGCATAAACATCACGACGTGATCTTCACATTGTATCAGCGCATAGCAGTCCATTGCTTGATGTAGGCATCCCCCAGGGTACGTCACAAAGTAGTACGTATCTCCCGTTTGTGCCATCTAGTCGCTACAGTTCCCGTCATGTAAAAAGAACGCTGAGCAGCCAATTACCGAATTGTTGTTGTCCCTTTTATTCCACATTACTACCAATATAGGAAATGAAAGAGATGACAAATCAGACGGCAGTTATTACACAGCGTTCTATTTACATGACACCAATTATACCACCGCTCTCTTGAAGTCATTGGTACATTTGGCCGGAGGACGCCCGATGCTACGCTTGCGGAGGCGTGGTAATCTCCATTCGAGAAATCGCTTACTCCACCGTCACCGCCACTTCAGCTGGTTACACTTCCAGACTATGTCAATTACTTTGATCTTGTGGCGGATAATCTCGTTCCGGACCTTATTCATTAGCGAGATCCCTAGCAAAGACCTTTCCATAGCTCTTTGAGTGACATGTAGCTGGTGGGCCACTTTTATTGTTCAGGTTCGCGTTACATAAATATTTTAATCTTAATGTTTATCGGAGGGAGGCCCATGTCCAGCTGTGGACTTTAATGACTGTTCATCTTTTCGAGTGCATCACCGAGTCGTCCAATGAGCCGATGAGCCCTGGTATCAGAGCTGTTCAGAGGTCGAATGTTTAACTCAATGTTTGGAAGTTTAATTTTTCTACCTTTTAAGTGCGGAACCCCAAAAATCAGGCTGTACGCTGGGTTCAAAGCGTGTAAGCTGGAGATATGACTGTGATGTGAGGATGAGAGCATACGAGTTTTATTGGCACGGAAACTGCGTCTCGCTGAACACCGATGCTTATGAACATGTAGAGCCGGCAAGTATTTTTGTAACTGAAGGTTACATGGGTAGGCAGTTCGAGAACGATGTTCTATTACTGATGATCGAAAGTTGCAAGCCTGTTTTGTAAGTACACCACGACTTTGAGTATAAAGATTTTTTTTTATTTGAATTTGAAAAGTATACATACCTCTAAATGAAAATGAGACATTTGAAATTTTCTTTAGCGTCGGCCTGGACAAGAATTACATAAAAATGAGAAGTTTGAAAATTTCTGTAGCGTCGGCCGGGACTAGAACCCGGAACCAAGGGGTACCGTCGTCCCACTGCTCCGCCAACTGAGCTACCGGCGCCTGGCCTGGCCCTTTTCAATTTTCTCATTTTCATTTATGAGACTAAATACTAGCATTTAAGTTGCACTGTAACAGTACATTACAATGTAAAACATTGTTGCCTCTATCACACACAGCAAGGGTAAAGGGCAATAATTCATTTCACTACAAACTTTCAATTGCTACACAGTTTCCAATCGTCGCATAAATTAATGATTTAAGCCCGTCCGTTCTCACCATTCTCAGGTCTGTGCCGGATTTCGTACGTCACGAAGGGCACGCACGCGCGCCACGGTCGATCCAGCCCAGCCACAGGTGCTAGCCGGGCAGTCGCACCGTCTGCCACGCCGCGACACCTCGCCGCCATCCCTCAAACACACGGCGACACTACCCTTAACAGACTGACACAAAAATATCACTAAAACATTAACTTTATAACCCTATACGCTTCAAAACGCCTGGCATTAATCTATAAGCAAAACTTGTTCTTGAAAGTTGCCTTCAAACATTCAACAGGCGTCTCTGTACTTATGACTAGTGTAAATATTCTCTTTGAGATTCAATTTTAAAACGTTGTCTCGTTTCTACGCTGTTGTTGATGAGTTTAAAGTGTTGTCTGTTTACTTGACTGTTGTGTGATAGATTGATAACGATGTTGTTCATATTATTGTTGAAGGATCAAAGTTATATTTAGTGTAGGTAGTGTGAGAGGATTACCTACGTATCTTCGATTTAAAATGCTTGTGATAAAGTGAAAGGTGAGTACGAAAATAAAAATAAAATAAGAATTAAATGCTTAATCATACATGGATGGTACGGTTTTAATGTCATCGTATAAATGCCAAAATGAGGGGAGTGTCTACAATGTCGAGTTTAACGATGTAATAAAGTATTTAGCGTAAGAATTATGACAGCTCCGAGGTTTAAATGCCGTAAAAGCCTTGGAAGAGACGTTACAGTCGATTTGTAGGTATCTAATTTAAAATGTTCAGTGATTATTTTGCTTTTGCTACGAATGGAATGGAATCAACTCTTAGGTATCAGCTTTAGGCGCTTTACACACATAACGTACGTTTGTTCGTGCGTTATTTTTGCGCAGCGCTATCCGTTGCATTTGAAAAATACGATTTTCCAAAATGTTACGCAGCGCAAAAATAATGTCGAAACGGACGTTATCTATGTATAGCGCCTTACATTGTGCGTAGTTTACATACTGAAAGTCGCAAAAGAAAAAAAACACGGATTTCCTAAATTCATTGCATAAAGAACTAAATAAATTGACCTTTTAAATACCATGACATGTGCCCTTAACTAATGGCTTCAAAAGGTCAAATATAAACATTAATTTTCTTCTGGTATAAAAATAATCTATTAATTATGATTTATTGATTGTGAATACAATAATCTACAGCAGGTTAAGTAGTTAGGTATGGCTGTTTATATAACGAAAAAAAGTGGTGACTGACGACGCAAATCAACCGAAATAGAATATTTGCCTGTCCTTTTTATTTTTAACACGGGCGAGTATAATGTAATCTCACGACAGTAAATGCTTCAAAAAACCGGCCAAGAGTGTGTCAGACACGCCCACAGGTAGGGTTTCCTAGTCAACATTTAAATATCAGGTTTTTCTGCGTAATAATTTTTAGCGTTTAATACTTTAGGAGTTAGCTGGAACAAATTATGGCTCAAAAACCTTTTTCTAGAACCTACGATTACTTTTCATAATTATAAAAATTTAATTAAGTAGCTTGTAACATAAGTACTTTCTAGGAATATTCTAAAAATAGGCAAGTACTATCTACTAATGTAAAAGGAACGCTTGTTCAGAAAGAAATCAACACGAAATCATCTAAAACGCTTTTTTGAAATCGCTTAGAAATGCGAACGCTGTTTATTTACCTGATACAATCTCTCTTGTAAAATTGAATCGACGTCGGCATATCCGATGCAGCGTCAATACGATAGAGATACCATCTATTTATATTCTGTTCGTGTAAATATTGATCTCACACTGAAAAAAAACTATAACGGTCTTCTTCTTTTCGTGTGGGACACCGCGTCGTCCAACGACCCGATGAACCCTTTATTAACCCTGGTGTCAAAGTTTTTCTACCGCATATGACTTGGCAGAATAAGACCGCTGTCTAAGTAATCATAAACAGCAACCGGGACCGACGGTTTAACTTGCCCTCCACAGCACGGAACCATCTTGCTTCCAGATAGGTAGTCAGGTGGTTCAGCCTGCAACCTATAGCGGTAAAACTTTCAAGAACGATGAAAAATAAGAATTAAGTACAAGAAGAAATGAAGCGACTAAGGGATTTGAGAGTTGATGTATATTACCATTTTAGGCGACAGGCTGACAACCGTATGGTGATACACAGTCATTGACTCTCAAACTTTTGGCAGAATGTGTGTATGTATGTTAAATATGTACGTGCATTTGCTGGCGATGCCCACTCCAAACGAAATTGATAGCGATGGAATTGCTGCGTCACGATTAATGTTTTCATTTTACTGAATCTCGCCACGTGTTGACTGTAGGATAAATACGTAACACAATTTATACGTATCGCAAGCAAATTGAGCTACCCATTTAAGGGAGCAACTTTTACTGGTCTTTCACACGTAAATAATAAAAAAAACCTGTCTAAGTTGATCCCTTAAACCCATTTAAGGTGGTGTTTTTTGTGGCGATAGTACCTACTCCCCAAATGATCTGAATTCTGAAAGAAGTTTTTATACTTGTTTCACTAACTACCGAATGAGATTCACCAGCTTGAACTTTCCACATACAATTTTCTAAAATGGCCCCTCTCAAATAACTCTTTGTTTAGGAAACGTAACTTCAACCACGGTTTACTCTCTACCTACTCCGCAAGGTATTTAGGAGTGATGTGCGGTCGTGTATGGTTGGTTTATCTTATTCTTATCTATCACGATCCCGATAATCAAATAGCTACGTCAATCATAAAAAAGAAACTACTCTACTACTCCGTCGTAGCAAATCCGTAGCATCCGTAGAAGGGGTCTACGAACAAACTACGAAAGATTATTTTTGTCTTCATCCGAAGCTATTTTCATGAAAACCTAACCTTGGGAAATGACAACTCCTTTATTCAGAGGCTCTCGCAAAGTCAACGACCCGGGAGCGGTGGAAGGTTCGACTTGAATAAGGCTATTCGACCCTCTTGAAATTTTATGGCACGAAAATTCCGGGTCTCGCTTATTTTCGTACGGTTTCGTCGAAAATCTCACGGCTTTCGGCACCTTCGTAATATTAACTAAGCAATTTGTGCGTTACATTTAATGAATAAACAGGTAGCTAAGAACTTAGAAAGTGAAAGGAAAAACAGAGTATGAACAAAAAGTTAATATTTATTTTATTGATATGATCTACAAAATAAAATAAAATAAAATAAAGAGCTATAAAATCAGCGTTGTTGATACTGTTTACTAATTAATAACGAAGTCCATCTTTTATTGCATCAACAACTATTTCTGTGGACTTTTTACACTTTCTTTAGATCTTAGTGTTACGTAACGCTTGCGTTAGGAGTTACGCTAGTAGTAGTAACATTATAATATCATTGGTTAGGAGAATACGAATTACGATTTAATTCCCATACAAATACGGGTTTTGTAAAGCGGTTTGACAGACGCATCCGCTAGCACTGCGAACCACAGATTCGTCAAACCGTTCCTAAAAATAACGCACAAACAGACGTGACGTTTCTTGCCTAAGGTTGTTTTTGTTTCATATCACTGATTTTATTTTAATCGCACAAAGGATAGGTGAATTTTGCAGTCGGTACTTACATCCATCTGCAATTAAGTTCGATAGTGCATTGCAACATGGCAACCACCACAATGTTAATGTAACATGCGGCTTCTGTGGTGAACTGACCACGACCACATCAATTTAGCATTACATTACAATTTGACAATAGCGAATTTACAACTATGTATACAGGGTGTAAGGGAAGGCGTAATGAAAACTTTCCAGGCATGTTCAGACCATGAAACTGAATAACTTTCCCCATGGAACATGTGGTGGTAAACGAAAAACCTCCCATACACAATTTACGGTCTTTGACTGACTGACTTTATAAAGAAAGACATTTTTTTTATCGATTACCACCATATCTTCCATTGGGAAAGTTGCTTAGTTTCGTGGTCTAAGCACGCCTGCAAAGTTTTCGTTACACCATAGCTTTACACCTCGTATAAGGTTAATTTGATGAAGAACAAATACTTTACGGGCGTGTTCTACACACAAAACTACACTTGTATTCCACTCAAGGTGTTTCGTAAAAGGTGATGTAGAGTTTTTGACCTCGGAATCTGTCGACTATGGTCAATTGCATGGTGGGCGGTGATACCACCTACAATAGCATTCCAAAAGACGGTTGAAGTCAGGCAGGCGGGCAGTAATAAAACATAGCCAAATCCATTTGCTGAATGTTTTAGTGTTTTAACAAATCATGTTGCGCCAACTCCAACTGATTTGGGAATTTGGGATAAAAACTGGAATCTGATAGTGTTTTCTTTGCCCACAGATCTCAGCATGATGCTGAGCCCAAAGATCCAACGATCCGTACGCGTGAACGATGGGCAGCTCATTGCGCTGTCAGACAGAGCGCAATATGACCATTCTCAGGTAAGAAGTCATCTGCATTGGTCCTCTACTTGTCAGCAGATCGCAGCATGATGCTGAGCCCTAAGATCCAACGATGGACAGCTCATTGCGCTGTCCGACCGAGCGCAGTATGATCACTCGCAGGTAAGAAGTCATCTACCTTGGTCTTCTCTTTGTCAGCAGATGTCAGCACGATGCTGAGCCCTAAGATCCAACGCTCCGTGCGCGTGAACGATGGACAGCTCATTGCGCTGTCCGACCGAGCGCAGTACGACCACTCGCAGGTAAGAAGTCATCTACCTTGGTCTTCTCTTTGTCAGCAGATCTCAGCATGATGCTGAGCCCAAAGATCCAACGCTCCGTGCGAGTGAACGATGGA